ACTAATTTTTTTTTTTTTTGGTTAAAAGGGTAAGCTACTATCAACTAATATTTCCAAAGGAAATAAAGTGGGATTTATTACATCAAGTTGACTCTTGAATCGTTTGAGTTGCAATTGACCAAAGTGGGAGAAGTAGATCCGAGCCCTCCAAATGTGACCAGGTCCAGCTGGAGAGGGTGGGAATGAGTCAACCACCTGTCGCCTTCACATTGGCCCCTCAAAGTTGTAGATCGAACCCAGATGGTGATTGATTGGGACATGATTCCTTTATTTTTCGTTTTTTTCTTCACTCGTTGTCATCAGCTCTACTCATACATCTCCTCTCTCTCTCATTTACCAATTTGCCCAATTTTGTATTATTTCATCTATCACTCCAATATATAATATGTTTATATATTCCATCTATCCCCATCCAAATATTTTGACTTTAGACTCATTCATTTTTTGTGACAACTCTTTTAATATAGTTCGTTTGAAATTTATGAATGAACCCACATTTTAAAAAATTAAAAGATAACTTTTAAAAGGGGAATGTTAAGTGCAGTGATGATATTTATTCTTTGAATATTATTGAATGTATTTTTGTTTAATTCACCTGAATTTTTTTTTTTCGTACAAGTGAATGCACTGTTCAGAAGAGTCCGAAAATATTTGTTTCAAAAACTATTATAATATCAAGCTACACCCTCTGATTCAAACTCTAAACCAAATACAGTACCAAAAATAAATCGAAACAATTCTAATTTCAATATAACCATAGCATCCAACAAAAGGCTCACAAAATTTTCGAAATCTAAGAATGATGGAAATGTGACGTTGGTGATTTGGTGAGCTTGAAGTTTTGAAGTAGAAAAAAAATAAAAAAAAATAAAAAAATTATACTTGAAAAGAAGCTTTGATGATGTAAAGAATGCCAAAGAGTGTTCTTGGGAGGGATGGAGCGTTGTTTGGTCAAGAGGGGGAGAGAGATTGTGTGGTAGAGATGATGCAACACAACATAATTTTAGGTAAACAAAGAGGGATACACGACATAAAAAATGTTTTGGTGATTTAAAAATTTTTTGTAATTTTATTTTAGGATAATCGGAGTGGAGCGTCAGAGGAGGTTACTGGAGTGCAACTACCGCTAATCTTTAATAATAAAATAATATTAAAAGTAGTGTAAAGTGCAAAAAAAAAAAAGAAAAAAAGAAAAAGAAAAACAAAACGATGACAACATCCTGAACTATAAGCCAATTGCACAAAACCCCCTTATATTAAAGACGATCCCCTAAACTATTAAAAATTGCATTGAAGGACACTATGTCAAGTTGCGCTTACCGGGAAAAGAATATTACTAATTTACCCTTCAGTTGAAGGGCCCTGTTTTGATTCTTTATTAACTTCTATTACTGACGTGTAAAAAAAAAAACCTCTTAAAGGCCAATAGGAATTGGATAACATATCACCTTATCATTGCATTGCACTCCAATTCATCTTACTCAGATTCCCTGTTCAACATATTTCTCTACCTTCCAGGCTGACGCTTCCATCAGATTACTTCGTCTCTCACATCAAACTGTCAGAATCCTATTGGCTTTTCTATTTGCTGAAACCCTAACATCAATTTAAATTTTATTCAACAAAACCTTCAGTTTCTCATTGTAAATCAAAGAAAATTGAACTATAAAACAAAAATTAGGGTTTATGAATGAAACTTAGGGTTCGATTTTTGATTGTTGAATGGCTTGTATAGAATCAGAACGGTAAAGATCCACAAAGAGAAAGATGGCGATTCGGTAGAGAATGAAGCTTAGGGTGGCAATTTTGGGGTTGAATTTGGTGACCTTGATTTAGGGGGTTTTAACTTAAGAATTTTTTTTTTTTTTTTTTTTCTCTAGAAAGTATCAATTCCAAAATTTTTGATATATACATTTAGAGTAATGATAGGAGAATCGAAAAGAAATTCTCGAATTAATACCGAATTTGATATGGTTGGCTATACTTATCACATGTTATATAATTATTTTTTCGAAACAATTTAAGTAGATGAAGTGGACAAAAACACGTCAGATTCGGGACTTATTCGGGAAAATCATTCGGCGACTCTATCATTTTTCTTACATTTAATAGTTTATAATGATAAGTTTATCATTTTAAAATTACAGCCCAGGCATGTGATCATCACGGGCCTATATAACCGGAGGAACCAAATGAAATCAAAACCTTGCTGGTGGGTATTTTTGCAAAAAATTGGATAATTTAGGGGTTAATTGAAAAAATAGAAGTTCAGGGAATTTTAGGGGAAAAGAGTAGTTATTTATTTGAATTTATAACAAATAAAAAAAAATAATAAATAAAAGGATAAATTACACCGACTTCTCTTAAAGTTTGGATAAATTACACATAAATAGACTTTTATTACTTTAACATTCTCTAAAAGTCTGAAATGTTTTCCTACCCTTATCTAATTTAATTAAAAAATCTATCAAACAAAAAGACTCTATTTGTGGGTGCAATTTTTTACACCCGAACACCTAAAGAGATTGACTACAGAGAGCACATAGAAAAATTCTGAATATTACTACTATCTCAAAGATTTGCTTACTTCCTTCTTAATTTTTCTGTGTGCTCTCCGTAGTCAATCTCTTTAGGTGTTCAGGTGTAAAAAATTGCACCCACACTATTACATTTTTTTTTCTTCCTTTCTTGTAAACACTATGTTACCTACCTATATAAAAAGAAACCTAATCAAATGTAATTAACAAAAAAAATTAAAATTAAAATTAAAAAAATTGTTTTTGTAACACATAAAACAATATGAAATTGATATTTTTCATTTTAATGGCATTTGGTGGTATTTGGTCATTTCATATCAAAATATAAGAATATTGAGATTTTTTAACACAAAGAAATGGTAACTTAGTCATTTTAAAAAAATTTCATTAATGGCAAGGGGTGTCGTGGAGCACACGAACTACATCTCAGGGAAAGTTAAAATAATAAAGGTCAAATGCTCTATCTATATATAATTTACCCAAATTTTAAGGGAGGTCAATGTAATTTATCTAAAATAAAATCATGGGATTTGAATATAATTTGTTAGGAGTACTTAAAATCCAAGACTAATTAAAACTTTTTCCTAGGGGTGGCAATATGTGTTTACGGGTGATAACTGTGTCATGTCGATCTAAGAGTATTTTATTAAAAAGTAAACTCAAATATGACCCGTTTAATAATTGTGTTAGGAACCCTCAATACGAACCCAACCTATTTATTAAATAAGCTACATGTGTTAACATATTTAATGACCTGTTTACTAAAATGAGACATTTAATACTCAATCAAATAATAAATTAAAAAAATATAAGTATCAGTTTACTCAAATATTCAAAATAAGAGAGAAAAATATTAAACACCCGATAGACAAGTAGACATAATACAAATATTTAAGTAAAAATCATAAGTCTTAAGTCGTAATTTATGTTGAAATAACTTAACTCTTCATAGTAATTGGGTCTAAACATGTACTGACATATTACACGGGTCATGTTCACAATTATGATAACATTGAGTTAAATGAATATAAACGAGTTGAACCCTTTAACTTTAAGAGCATCTCCAATGCTAAAAGTCATTTTCGCTTGCCAAATCTATATTTTGACAGGTGCTACAGTGTCAAAATGCTACATTTTAGCGCTCCAATGGTGCATTTAATGCAAAATACTATTTTTTGACACAACCACCATTTTTTTTCAACTACCATTTCCACCATTCATATTTGCTTTAGTAATATTAATTTTAAGCACATTCCAAATCAAGTTGTAGACATTAGAAGGAAACTAAAATTAAACATAATTAAAAAGAAGCAAAAATTTAAAATATCCGGTAAAAAAAGGAACAAATATATATATATATATATATATATATATATATGTATAAATTTATATATTTGATTATATTATTATATAATTTTTTTTTCTTTTTCGAAAATTCATATATAATATATATATATATATATGTATATTATATATATATATTTGATTATATTATTATTAAAAATATATATTTATTTAGGACAAATCATTTCAGCCTCCCCAATCGCCTCCATCTCTATTCTCGTTCTCAACTCTGAAATTGCCGCCTCTCTCTCTCTCTGTGCAATTGCAAACTACAAAATCAACAAGAATCAGAAGTTCAAAACCCATATGTTTTAGTTTCCATCGCTCGCTGTTCCAGTTCGGGTTTGCCGTTCGCAAGCTTCAGCCGCTGTCTCTCAACTCTCAAGCTTGCCCCCCTCTCTCTCTGCAACTTCGTATCACAACCTCCGACATCGACTCGTCTATTCGCACCTGTTTTGTTCATCTCCCCATCGCACAAAAAACACATAACATGGCAAAAACGAGAAGAATTCGCCCATAACCAAGAAAAACCAAAGTCAGGCCAACTTCGCAAGAGAGGGTTACTGAGGACGTGAGAAGGAATGACGACGTAGGATTGGAGATCGAGGTCCATCAGTAACCCTCTTTTCGTCATCGATTGTCTTCATCTGGTTCAGATCGGCTGATTTCCCGGAACTTTTCTCTCTATATATTGCAACAGACGAGGAGAGAGAGAGATGCGAGTTTCAGATTGTGATTCCAAACGGCATCATATTGGCAAATGAGAGACTTGTCAAAAAAAATTGACAGCTACTACATATGAGAAAAGATTTGAGAATCTCAAAATTTGAGAGTTCAAATGAGAGCCCATTGGAGAGGGCTTTTTTTACTCAACTCTCATATTTTGAATTGAAAGATCAAATAAAAGAGCATTACAGATACTTTAACACAACATAATTAAATAAACGAATTAATCGTGTCAAAATCATTTATGACCCGAACCGTTTAATATGATCACAAATATGCTTATCTATTGGCACACCCTACTTTTTTCTAAAGGGAAGGATATTATGGTAATTACGACTGATCACTTTCTCCACCAAGCTGAATTTAGTCCGATTATTTATACCAACACCATTGAGGTTCTCATTGTCTTAGAAAAAGTCTTATCTCTTACATACACATTCACTCTCTCTCTCTGTAAAGTACAGGTGACTTGTAACTATTCACTTCTCTCCGTGTTCCACAAGCACAGCTTTTCTTCTTCCCAACTATCAACTACTCTGGGTGATCCACAGGTCTCATAGTGTGTGAATTTGAAGTTGTGAAGAGTGGTAGGGGTGATGGGTGTGAGTAGCCGGTGTTCCCATACATCGCACATCACCGAGATCATCATCACCAGCTTTTTCCGCCACAAGATCTAAATCCAGAGAGAAATAAAAAGGCGAAAAGAGTGAAATCAGAACCAACAGTCTGATCTTCTCACCATAGCTATGGTGGTTTGAATTGTCGAACACGATCTTTTTACAGAGTTCGAAACAATATATGGCGGGTCGGAGAGGATCGAATATGAATACCCTTTTACTTCAAAACAAGAGGCTCCTTTCTTCTTCTTCTGAACCCCTTGATTCTCTTTTCATATCTGGCTCTTCCCCTTCTTTTCTTGGTAATTATCTCTTTCTCTCTCTATTTATTTATTTGTGTACATTTGATTCAAGTTCTGAATATGGGTATGATGAAAATCTAGGTTTGTACTTATGATGGATGATGTTTTGTGATTCTGCTTGTAGATCCACTTATTTTACTTGTATGTATTTCTTTGATTGAAATTTTCCCATAATATTTTTGGGTATTGTCTTTATTTATCTTATTAGAGAATTTTTTGATTCACCGTAATATGTTATGAGACCAGTATTTGCTTTATTTTTATTTATTTATTTTTTCCTTCCTTTTTTATCATTATATTTTGATAAACTTCATATAGGTAATTTTGTTTGTGTTGGGAATAATAATTTACTTCCAAGCTGAAATATGCTGAAGATGGGTTAATTTTTAGTAAATTTGCTCTGTAATCTGCTATCTGGTGTGGTTTTATAATTGAATTGGGATTTGTAGAGGATCAGATTGTTTTCCACAAATTCTGTGAATGAAGGGTAAAACATAGATGTATGTACATGGGTCTGTTTCTGTCATTAAAGATTTATATAATATTTTTGGTGATATCTATTCAGATTATTATTATTTAGATTCACCGTACCATGTTATTGAGTGTAGTAATTGCTTTTCCTCTTTTAGTCATTGTAGTTTTGATGAAAATCATCTAGGTGATTTTGTTTGTTTATGTTGGGAATACTAGTTTGCCGCCAGGTTCACAAGTTGAATGCTGCATTTAGATCAATTTTGGTAAAATTGCTGTGTAATTTGTATATGGTGTGGATTATCTTTGAATTAGGAGTGGTATTGGGTAAGTGCTTTCACAACTCCTCTCTAATTGTAGTTTTCTTTGTTTTCCGATGTGAAATATAAAGACAGAGCATATTAGTACCCTAAAGACATGAAACCTTTTTTGCCTAAGGTCTCACTTGCCATAATGCAATTTTATGCTGGTAATGAAATCAGCCTAATCACAGATATATGGTACTATGTGGGTGCCAATTGTGTGAGGAAGAGTTCATTTACCAATTTGAGACGAAAGGGTTACCGACTTTTTGATATAATTTCTGGTGATTATTTGCAAGATGGTCTTGTTATATTGGCGGGTTGTCTTTGGTTCAGGTTCAAGATCAATGGTTAGCTTTGAAGATGTCAATGGAGGAAAAAGATCAGGCAGGCCGTTCTTCTGCTCGTTTGATCAAGAAGAAAATGGAGATGACGAGTTGGAGGAGTATTTTCATCAACATGGAAAGAAGAGGCGTCTGACAGTCAATCAAGTACAGTTTCTCGAAAAGAGCTTTGAGGCAGAGAACAAGCTCGAACCCGAAAGGAAAATTCAACTTGCAAAGGACCTTAATTTGCAGCCCCGGCAGGTTGCAATTTGGTTCCAAAACCGTCGGGCACGATGGAAGACAAAACAGCTGGAGAAGGATTACGAGACTCTACAAGCTAGCTATAACAGCCTCAAGGGTGACTGTGACAACCTCCTCAGGGAGAAGGAGAAACTAAAGACTGAGGTAATGACTCCCATTTGAATTTTAGTGCCTTCCTATTTATAAGTAAAGCTCTGATGATTCTCATATAACGGCTCAATCTTTTCTCAGGTTCTTTACCTCACAGATAGGCTTCTTAAAGAGAAAGGGAGTGAGAACTCAAATTCATCTAATACGGATAAATTATCTGAGGCACCAGTGCAAGGGCCCATTTCTGATTCAGTTTCTGAGGGTGAAGTATCAAAAGTTACGGCTAAAAGTGACGTATTTGATTCCGAGAGCCCACATTGCGCTGATGGGAGTCACTCCTCTCTCGTAGAGCCAGGTGATTGTTCTTATATTTTCGAACCTGACCAGTCTGATCTATCACAAGAAGATGAAGATGATATTTTGAGCAAGAGCTTGTTGCCTCATCCACTATATGGGTTTCCGAAGATTGAAGATGCTGAGTACTCTGACCTGCCTGCAAATTCTTGTTTGTTTGGATTCCCGGTTGAAGATCAAGCAGCCTTTGGGTTCTGGTCTAACTGAATTGTCACCGTTATATATCACTCTCCTTCCTTTCTTCTTTTTGTTGTTCTAAGCATACTTTTGTGGTATAGGGTAAACTAGCTGTCAATAAATCCAATCTATCCAGATTTGGTTGTGGGTTTCTGTAACTGTTGGTACTGGTAGTTTTGCTCAGGGCGGTTTCATTTCGTAAATCAGAATGTAAGAATTTCTATATATCGAATAAAGCTTGTGAAGAATTCAGTCGTATATTCTAAGATTCTGAAGATAAAATGGTGTTAACATATGCCCTGTATTATTCCACGTATGTTAAACGCACAAATATTGGCAGCATTAAAATTTTCACTAGTCATGGCATGATAACCTGTTGCTCTTACTCTGTGTGTGTTGACAAGTATAACTTTTTTGCTGTTGAGTGCCTTTTCGAATCAAAATGTGCTTTTTGATTGGCATGAACCACATTCGGAGAACAATTTGAAGGGAAAGATATTTTAAGCATTGCTGCATCTTTACTTATCAGGTTCAGCTACGCAACTTTTTATGCTTTCAGCTCAATCTTCGCACCATGTCCTCTTTTTCTTTTGTGGAAAGAGCATCATGTCCTCTTTTATATCTTGTTGTAAAACATTTTTTTCATCGCTTTCGTCCCAGTTATTTTAATTTTTTTGGGTCTTTTTTCAATTTGAATTCGTAGATAATAATATTAGGGGTGACAAAATGGGCCGTGACCCACCAACCCGTCCATATCTGCTCACTTTAAAATGGATATGGATAAATCATTTTAAAATATGAGTCAAAATGAGTGATTTATATTTAACCCATTTTATAGAGGATTAAATGGGTTGAATATGTATCACTCATTTTGATCCATATTTCATCCATTATATCATAGATTCAGTTTCACAATCTTTATTTGACTCAAATTCACCTCTTTCTTTTTAAAATTTTCGTACATGATTCCAAATTCTCTCTCCCACTATCTCTCTCTGAGATTCTTTCTGCATCATGAACTCCTCGCATATGTAATATTACGATTCGAAAGAAAGTATTTCAAAATAGGACGACCTGATTTATTCATTTAATTATTTATTCTATAAAAAACTTAACGGATGATTTCATAATATATATATATAATATCTTACCTTCATGCATGTTTAGCCACAAAATAAAATAATATAAATTTACAGAATTTTCGAAATAAACTAGAGTATTTACAATTAGTCATACATATTTTTACAAGCTTTTATCTATCTAAAATAAAAAAACTATAATAATTGTAATATATATATGGTGTGGGGTTCACTTTTTATAAAAATTTAGAAGAAATGAAATTAGTAGCGTGGTCCACTATTGAGAGAATTTGGTACACTGGTTTGAATTATGTGTATAGGTTTATTGTATATATAATGCTGTAGGTGTGAACAAATTAAATATATATAAGTAATATATATAAGTAAGTTGTTTCCTTAGCTTGGTTTGTAAGTTTGGCTTATAACTATATATATATATATATATATATATATATATATATATATATATATGGGTATTGGTGTGTATCCGATATGTATAGAAAAGGTAAAAAAAACAGAAGAAGGCTCTCTCTCTCTCTACATTCTGTCCCCCCTCTCTCTCTCTACATTCTGTCCCCCCTCTCTCTCTCTCTCTCTCTAAATTCTTTGGTTGGATATTTATGTTAATTAATATTTATATAACAATAATGAGATTATTAAAATAATAATTTTTTTGTTTTTTAAAAAACAGGTTGACGGGTCATAACGGGTTGACCCAACTCATTTTTATCCAACTATATTTAACCCGTTACAAATTGGTTGAATATGAATCACAACTCATATTCGACCCGCTCATATTTAACCATATCCCAATCCGATCCAACTCGTCTAGTTGCCACCCTAGATAATATACATTTGCAAGTAAACTAACCTGCCTTAATTACAAATGATCACATCCTGTTTATTAAAGCTCGTTAGATTATTTATAAATGAAATTCTTTTTTCTTAATCTTGCGACGGAGCTGAGTTTGAGTTCAAATTTGAGGTTAAGCTCAAGGTTAAGTTTGGAATTGAATAAATGAGTCAGAGAGAACCTAGTTCGAACTAGACAAGCGATGTCGGAGTAGGGTTGGACCACTCTCATTTGGGCTTGATCCAAACTTGAGATAGAAATTATTTAAAATACTCAATTCAAATAGTGAATGATTCTACTTAGTCCCATTGCAACAAAATTTCCGATTATTTGTCTTGCTTTAGGACTATTACTTCGACCAAGAATTTTATTCTTTGTCCTCAACTTTGTGACTTGAGGACATTGGGGTAATGAAGGTGATGTCTGGGGTATCAGTGTCGTGTCCATGTTGAGACTCACACTCCTCTCGGATGCTCTTTGGACACATACGTGATACTTCATTTACATATTTATATATAAAAATTAAATTTATTATTTTGGACACTTAATAGAGTAGTGTAACCTTAAAAATACTAAGAACACATCCTAAAATATATTTTATTTTATTTTATTTTTTAAAAGAAGAATTGGCATAATATCTATTATCTATAAAATGATGGTTCAAGTGTAAAAAACACTCCTAATGTAAATTTGGCATAACACTTTTACCCCTTATTTGAAAAAGTGTACTAATAAACCCTTTATTCTATTTAATATTGTGCAAAAACACCCCTCAAACAGAAATCCGACATAAAGTAATGTTTTAATGTCCGTTTTGCTCTTTTAATCTTCCGAAAATGCTCAAGGGAGTGTATATGCTAATAATCTCATAGTATAAGGGTATTATGTACACATTTAACCATTTTAAGGATTTTTATCTCACCTTTCCACAAAAATTAATAAAAAATTTCTCTATATATTTTCCCTATCTCTCTCTAAGTTGAGAGTTATACATTTCCTATGACTTAATGCCACTCATAAGTTATAAATGTTTAATATATGTATTTCTTTTACTAGTCAAATAGGGAGAAAAAAAAAAAAAATCTCAAAAAAATATTTGTTTTCACAGTTGTTAGGTTAATGGAGAGTATATCATATGGAATGAAAATCTCAGTTTTTTTTTTTATTTTTATTTTTATTTTTTTTATAATTATAAAAAAGAAAAAGTTGTTCCCAATTAAAATTTAATATAGTTATTTTTTTCATTAAATACATAATTAAAAAATTAATTAAAGATACTTATTCATTAAATGTATATACAAAATATCCATTTAATTTTTAAACTTTACAATTTGCAATAAATTTTCACAAATATATATATATATATATATATATATATATTTCTTTATAGCAAAAAAGGAGTGTTCGAATTCAAAACAACAATAATTTATAGGATAAAGTGCAGAAAACACCCCTATAGTATGCTTAAAGTGCGTATCACACGCCTCATGTGCTAAACAACGTCATTTCACTTTGTGTCCATTTTTGTCATTTCACAAAATATGCATTTTTAAATAATATGAAAAAAGTTTATATAAAGGCAATTTAGGCAAACTTTACCTTAAATGTGCTAGAGGGGACCTATTTGTAGAAATTAAAACTTAGATGTATTTTTTGCACATGAGGGATGTGATACACACTATAAATTGATATGTATATTATTGTTGAGAGATATGAGTGGTGAGACATCTAGCCCGTAAGGACAACTTCACGAGGTTACGAGTACAATGGGTAAAGAGAGGTTACTAGTGTTTGTAATAACTTTGCATGATGATTATAGTGAATCTTGACGTAGCCCTGAGTATGGATGAATTATGTAAATCTTATATTGTGATTTGGAATTGTTTTTTTTTTTTTTTTTTTTTTTTTCTTTTGTAAATTGTATTGCTTCCGTGGTACCGAACAAGTGGTATCAGAGCCGACTGTTCAGCTGGGATTGATGTTTAAAAGATAAATAAAAAATAAAAAATAGGAAAAGTCTCAACAACTGTTGCAATGGGTGTTTAGTTGCTGGTGGAGCCAATTAATCAGTCGGCTTGTTTAGTCACGATGGTCGTCAGGGTTCGTTCTTTCAGCCCAAAAAAGAGATTGTGGTTTTTCTTTCAGCTAAGGTTTGCTCCTAGCCTAGAAGAAGAGTGGATTCATTCTCTTAGCCTGGAAATGAGGATGGTGGTTTTGCTCTTAGCCAAGGTTCGCTCCTAATAGGGGTGCAACTTGGGTTGGACAACCCGAACCTAACCCGAGTCCAACTAAATTTTTCTTTGGCTTGGACAATCATTTTTGCAGTTAGGGTTGGGTCTAGGTTGAAAAATATCAACTCAAATTTAATTAGGGTTGGCTTTGAGTTGAGATACTAGCAATCCGAGCAAACCCGAACCCGAATTCTAATATTATATATATATCTTAACAGATGAAATTGAAAAGAAAAAAGGTAATTATAGTTTAAACATTATATAATATATATATATATATATATATATATATATATATATATTATATAATGTTTAAACTATAATTACCTTTTTTCTTTTCAATTTCATCTGTTAAATCTTAACTTATTGTATGTTAACATTTAGGAGAATTAATTTTCTAAGAATTTGTTTGTAATTTATTAAAAATTTATAAAATGTCTTTAAATTTATTTATTTATTTATTTTTGTTTAAGATTAATTAATCTAAAACTAATTCAAGATCATATTAAATTTTTGGTGCGAAGATTAGTCATATGAGTAACCCGAATTAACCTAAATTTTTTACCTGGAATCTAAGCCCGAATTTAAAAATAGAAGGATGGGTTGGGCTCGGGTTGAGCAGTCAAGGCTGAAAATAGGATTGGATTGGGCTTTGGTTTAGTATTTCAAATGGTGGGTTGGGCTTAGGTGTAGTATTTCATATGGGTTGGCCTTAAGTTATACCTCAAACTCACCCAAGTTGCAGCCCTAGCTCCCAGCCTAAAAAAAGAGTGGGTTCACACTCTCAGCTTAGAAAAGAGAAAGATAGAATCATGATGAGTTACATAACAAGAAGTTCGAGTCAATGTAAAGCCTTGAAGGACGAGAAGATTGAGGCCGAATGAGTTGTTCGATTCAGTTGCCGTGGAAAAAGTTGATTGACGTGAATGAATTTAAGCTAATGTACAGATTGTTATGATAATTTTATTGCATTTCTATTGTAGTGTCGTATCTTATCGTGCAACTTTTTCTGATAACTCATAGGCAATCCTTGAGTTGAGTTTTGGGCTCTATAGACTATAAATAGATGTATACGTTATTGTTGAGAGGTATGTG